AGTCTATAAATCTTGTCATGAAATTCTTTTATTAAGTTACTTCATTAAGTAATAAGTTTCCTCTGAGTACTGGAAATCCAGAGAACAAATATCAGTTTGGGACAAGCTTATTCCGACCTTCTTCCCTCCTTCCCCCCGCATAGTTATGAGTTGTGATCTTCATTTTTTTGAAGAAAACTTTCATTTTAAAGTAAAGTCTTAAAATGAATTTTAAGATTGGTTGCTGGAGCATTCGGCACCCTCATAATCTGTGATGGTATGTATAAAAAAAGTAAATCACCTTGGAGTTAGTGTAAAATAATATTGCACCTAAAAATTTTATCTTTTTCAAGAAAGAAAACATTTCTTTTATACAGGTTTGATTTCTTATTAGAATTATTCCTCCTGGCAGGATGTGTGCCACTCTATAGTGGCAATTTTAAGGCTTTGTATCTGTATTTAGAAAGACCTGTCGTTCTGGAAACTCTCCTTATTCTAAGCAGGACCTGCTACACCGGGGAGACTCTGTTATATTCTTTGACTTCCTCATAAAAAAGAGAGGGGGAGGGGAGGCACTTTTATAAGACCCTTATTGTACTAATTGTACTGGACTTCATTTCTACCTACCTGTCAGCTTCAAGTCTGAGTTTTCATGCTTTCCGAGACTGTTAGCTATTTGCATTACTTCACCTAGGGTGTTGTGTGTGCTTTTTGTTTGTTTGTTTTATAGTTTAATATCTTACTTATCAGAGAAAAGCAGGGTCCAGTTAGTTAAGGTTTCAGTAGTATGTGGAATGCAACTTCCTAAGCTTGTCATGCATCAAACTGTTATGGCTGGCAATTGTTTAAAAAAATTCATTTTGTTATGAACTAGCCTGTTTTCAACTGGGCTGTTCAGAGATGGATTGCTTTCTGGAGTTTTTGACAGGTGTAATTGTTAAGGCGTCATCTGTTCTTGTTTGCACAAAATACATTTTAGCCAACTGTAGGACTTGCCCGCTAATCTTTCTCACATCATTCCATTCTTTGCTTGCCACTAGACAAATCCCCTGTTATTTGACCAGATGGTGGAAAATCCATTCTCATGATAAGTTGCTTCTAGTTTGCATTTAGATTACCTGCAAAAATGGAACAATTTACTACTCTGCCTCTAACCATCTCTTTCCTCCCTTTTTCCCTTAGTTTGACTTCTTGTAACTAATTATTTAAATTCTGCCCTGTGAGTTAAAATTAGTCATAGCTTACACATTTCACATGTATGTAAATGCACTTAGGTTCTACCTCAAGTCATATGATGAATCCATCTGGAGTTTAGTGACATATAAAGATAGGAAGATGAACTGCCTGATGTGCAGGCACAGCAGGTTATAATCCTTTCATATTTGAGATGGTACTTCAGAACTTTTTAGGGAAACCTCTAAAACAGGGATCAGATGTGAGAGCGCACTTAGCAACAGCAGCATCTTGTAGCATACATAGCAAGGAAAGGGAGGTACAAATATTAAGTGAAATTGGATGTTTCATTTAGTATTTGCTGGCATTTTGTTTGAGATGTTTCTACCTCTTTTGGAAAATAACCTTCTGTACTAGACAGTCATATACTTAAAACTCATTTTTGTCTTTGCTATTGTGAAGCAGCAGCTTTTACTCTGTCTAAAAGCCTGTATATGAATAGGTGTGTTTTTCAAGGCATTCAAAACTCAGCTGAAATTGGGGTGAGCTAACCACTGCAAATTGATCAGACTCAAATACTCTTCAGAGCTTTAATTTTTAATACAGAGAAAAATACAAGAAATCAATTTGAAAGCATAAAATAGAACAGGAATATACAGTACCCAGAGTAAATAGCCAATATACAGTTTTATCTTGGGCTAAATCAATTTGGTATGTGGAATCTGAGATACACATTCTATCTGTTGACATAATGTGCTAAAGAACAAGTTAGCAAAATTAATTTGGTGAAGATTGTCTAGAGGTAATCTTTTTAGAGATAAAGTCTGAGACCGATTGTCTTGGAAAACTTCTTTAGTTACTAAACAACGATTTTTACTTCTTATTCTGATGTGCTTTTTTAGGAAGGAGTGCTGAATAAAATGTTCTATGAGCTAGCCTTAATTTCTGGTTCATTTCTGACCCACAGTCTCATTGTTAACCAAAGACTGTTAATTGTAAATGTGAATCTAAAATGATAGTTGAAATGCATAGGATGCTCAGGAGATACAGGAAGTGCAGATGTGGCACTAGAAGGCATCTTCTAAATACCTGAAATAAAAACATAGTCTGTATTCAGCATATAAATACAGCTATGCGAACACCTTTAAGATCCTAAATTAAACCTTAACAGGAGACAAACATCACATGGGAAAATGCAGGACACTTTTTCATAGCCTGGATCTAGGTGGTTAGCTGCATGGCTAGAATTGCAGTGTGTGCTTGAAACTGTATTCCAGAGTGGCTCGAGACAGCTTCTTTCAGGTTAAGAGCAGAAGGCCCCATTCGGTGCTGATTTAAATGCCATGTGATCTCACTGAAGTCGGTGAGATTTTAAGAGATTTACACTGATGTCTTATTTGGCTTGGCGTTTTGGGGTATGAATGTTATTTATTTATTTGTTGCAGTAGAGAGGAAATGGAGGAGAGGCAAATAACTCAGCAAGTATTGGGTAAGGGATGGGGTCTGGGGTGGAACCTGGCCCTATGTAGTGCAGGGGAAGGCTTATGAGCTGCAGAATGGGGTTCACAACGGCTGCTGTGCTGTGTTTAGAGCCTCTTAAACAACCTATTAAAAAAATCAATCTTTTTCTCATCTTTGATTTCAGCATCTAATTCTGGCTAGATGCAAAGTGAGATTGTGATTCGAAGTCCAAAGTTCTGTTCTGGGCTTGTCTGCCATCCCATTTGAAGAAACCTGCTTCATCACAAGGGATGTTCCAAGTGACATCTTTTACTTTCCAGAAGCATGCCATGACTATTGCAAAGTAAAGGTTTTCTGGGGTGAGCCATGTCCCCCTCCTTTTGTTTAACCATTGAAGTAATAGTAATCGGTATTACTCCTCAAGGTTCGTGTGACCACAGAACCAGTGAAAAGAAAGAGCATAATTCTGGAGCCCCAGCATGAGGGTGCTCAGCTTGGAAGGTTTCTACACTTCTGCAAGGGCCAAATATGCTTTTCTGAGTAACTGTTTTAAGAGGATGTGTTCATTACCTACCTCTCTCTGATCTGGTGAATCTTGAGCTTTTTAAAAATCGTATTGTTTTAGCAAGAGCAATTAATGTATCCTGTACTTCAAAATAGCTGTTATCCAGGAGCACGTAGGCACCTTAGTGTTGAGGAGGATGTGCTTTTGAACCTCCGGCGTCTTTAAGGCATGGAGAGCCTGGTTCTCTTGTGGCTTTTGTGAGGCTCTAGCCACGCAGCACTGTATGAAGAGCGTTCCTCTTCTGTGTGGGTTGCAGGTGGGAAAGAGGTAGAGGAAACTGCTCCTGGGGATTTCTTTCTTACTAGCTTGTATGGCTTCCTGCTGTCACCTGTGATCTTAAGGTTACTCAGCTCTCTTCATACTCTGCATATGGTGCTTAGGCATCTAACTTAAGGCCCCAGGTATCACAATAAATAAGTGGGATTTTTTTTGTCAATGTCTTAATTGGTGAATGCAGGAATACTTTTGGCTTTGGATGCATATTTGGTCATGTCTTCAGCCTATAGCTGCTGCCTCCTGCATCTTGGTTCCCAGGGGGAGGAAACTGCGTATGTGAGCCCAACCAGTGGGCTCAGACCAGGTGTCTCAGAAAACCAGCCCTTCTAGGACAGGGAATGGTCTACACCTCTGCACACTGTGGGTGCAGTTTCAGCAGGGAAAGCCCTCAGTTTCCACAGTAGAAAAGTTAAATTTCCATTTTGTTAAGAGGTTTATTTATGAATAAAGATATCTGGCTTTTCCTCATGCCTCCATTATCAAATTGTTTTTGAGACAAATACTTAAATAATTAAAAAAGCAACCAACCAACCGAAAAGAAACTAGCTAGCTCAGGCTATATACAGGCTTAATAGGAAAACAATAAAACCCTATATTTATAAGAATATTAACGTTATTTTGCAGTCTAAAATTCCACTTTTTAAAACCCTGTAAAATTTGTCAAATGATTTGATACTTACTATGGTTGAGTTAAATACAGTTATTTAAAAGGGACAAAAGCATTAATTTGAGGAAGGTACAAAAGCACGTAAAATGGGGTTTTAATCCCAGAGAAGTGTGTTTAGAGAAGAGAGAGAGAGAAAAAAAAAAAAAAAGCAAAAAGGTTGGTACTGTTTTGTGTGCAATTCCCAAGTATATTTTTAAAACAACATTGAATTTTTATAGGCAAATTATATTTTTCTGCTAACAAGGGAATTGGAGGGGGTGAATAATAGAATGATTGACAAATCTTTTAGGGCCTGATTTTACAAGATGCTGCACAACTCCTGATTGCTGCCAATCACTTGCATTTCCTTTCAGTGGATCTGAGAACATATGGCATTATTCAGCTGGTGCTGAGCACCTTTAATCACAGTCCCTGTAATGCCACATTATCCTCATTCTGTGCAAATGTGAGAATTGCTGCTGACGTTTTAAATTGGAGGGTTATTTGGTCCTTGCCTGAACAAACTCCCAGCTGATATGAATGGATGTTCTACCTGAGGGAGGTTTACAACAGCAAAGTTATAAATATCAATTTTATAAGCACTATTTTATTTACACAAACTGTGCAGAGCATCAATTCAGTATGTAAACTTCTTTACCTCTTCCACTTTTATTCAATGGAGAAAAAATACTGTTCTTACGGAGAACTGAAGTTTAGTTTACTCTCAGTGCAAATTTCAAAAAGTGGCACCTCTGGCTGTTATGCGTGCAATGCAGTTGATTTAAAGAGCTCAGAAAGATGTTTAAGACATTAATCAATTCCAACATACTTATTGTCCTGCATTACAGTTACCTGTAGAGAATCTCTAGTCATGTATATCTGTTTTTGATACCTCTACAGAATAACTGTCCAGCATCCTCTACCCAACCAATCAGAATGTAGGAAAATCTACAGATATGACGGAATCTACTGTGAATCTACCTACCAGAAGTATGTTGAAATCTGTGTGAGTCTTGCCTCTAGCTCGTGCATTTAGTGCTCGTGCTCTCCCGCTATTCAGTGTTGAAACCGTATACTTCTGCTGACATGCAAAACCTCTAAAGCAGGCGCAGAAATAATGTTGTGTGCTTCTTTGGGATTGTGCTCTAAAGCTAAAAAGCAAATAAAAACCCTATGACTTTATTAAATCTCTTAGGTATGCTTCTGTATAGTGCAATAAACAAGAATGTATACGCTAGAAAAATCTAGGCAAAATATATTGCACAGGTGCTTCACATCTTAGGGATTTGAAAGGTGTGTTATGTATAAATTAGCTGTCACTTTTTTCAGTCGTGTAATGGAATGATGAGTTGTAATTTGCATAATCCTTTAAGAAGTCAAATTATACTGTCATGTAGCAGACTTAACATGCTAGCGAGGATTTCATAGCTTTGCAGCTAATTAGTATGTACCTTACAGGACAGTTAAATTGAAGCTGAGGCCTCTTGCTTTGCAGTCATTTGCCTTTGCCCATTGCCCTAACGGAGGCCGCTTTTGTGCCTAACGAAATATTGTTCCTGGTGCTTCTGACAAAGTGCTATTGCTGTGAGCAGGCAAAAGAAACATGGTTGACTTCACTACTTTTGCAAGCAGTGAAGTTCCTTTTTTAATGTAGTAAAAACTTAATAACACATTTTCACATAGAGCTGAAAAGTATAAATTTGACAGCTCTATTATAGATGATTTTTTTGTTAAATTATTGCAAATGTATTGTGAATTTTCTGTAAATTTTGAAACTGCTTTGTCTTGCTTAGTGGTTACTTTTTATACTCCAGTTATTTATTGGTTTGTGTCTTGGTATTATCATTATCAGCTTGTGTATAACAGATTTCATTTTCCAAAAAGCTTTATCATCTAAAAAATCAGATGTATTTACACTGCAGCAAAATGGCAAGGCAGTAATACTCATTGTAGCTCCTCAGGTCGTGTTCTCTCCTCCTGTCTTTTTATTCTGAAACAGGCTGCTTGTTTGCTCAGTTGTTTTTTAGTAGTAGATAACAACCACATTAGTAAAAGCTGGTTCTTCAGATTAAACAAAGAGCATGATTTTGGTTTATGGAAGTGAGACGAAAAGAGAAATACAAACTATTCTGTTTAACATAACTTGTCAATATAACTCTTAGAGTCAAAATGAAAATCTTAGTTGGTTTTCCCTGAATGACTACTTTTGGTATTAATATTGTTTATTTGTGCTTTATATTTAATGAGCAATTCTTAAGTTTTGGATACTTTTGCATTCTATCGTGCCAAATAATGGCAGTGTGTAGGGTAATCAAAGCAGTTTAGATATAGCCAGGTTTTGGATGGCAATAGGGAACTATTTTTTTTTTTTTTTTTTGCTTGTCACCTCAGTTCAGTAACTATAAAAATGTATTCATTTGTTTAAATACTTGAAACAGATTTGTTGTGTGCTACTTATCAGTTTTTAGAAACTCTATTTGTGGAAATAAAAAAATCTTGGCATAGTGTAGAAGAGTCTGTCATCTTTGTCTCGCATTTTAAATAAAGCGATAGCCTCACTCTGAAACCTGCAGAATACCAGGTTATCTTTTGAAGTTAGATGATGTTTATAGTCAATATAGTAAAAACAGCTAGGAGTTGCGACTCCGACATGCAATGTCCTTCCCTAGACGTGCTCTGTTTTTTTTTTCTTTTTTTTTTTTCTTCTACTATTAGTGGAGGTTTGTCTTGCTGCTACTCTGCTATTCTGCAGTTTAAGTTCTCAGAGGCATACATTCTGTCTTCTCCCTAATGGACATTTTTGATACTTTTTTCTGTGGTGCCTTATTTCTAGTAATATAAAAGCTTTAACAACAGTTACTAAAAACTTTTCACAAGTGAGGCAAACCTCTGATATGAGGCAAAAAAAAAAAAAATGACCTATATTTATTATGTTTTTAAACTTTATACCTTAATGCTAGAAAGCAGATGTGAACTGTTGGTGCCAGAGAAGCATGTTTTTTGTGTGAGGGATGCACTGTCTACACACTACAGCTGAGGAGAAGGCTGCAGCTCAGGTACTCGTGTTAGCAATAGCTTTAAATTAGGTGTTTGGGACATGGCAGCCATGAAGGAGGAGTAGGGTCATGGGAGCCAGGGACTATCCAGCAGGGACCACACTCTGCTTCTGCAGCACCATTGCCATGGGTACCAGGCTTGGCCAATTTAAAGCTACAAACTGTTACTGTGTACGTGACAGCAGTGTAGACATATGGGCAAATCTGTGTTGCTTCATAGATGTTTTAAGATCCTTTTTATGTCCTGTGTTTTTTTGAGTGTTGTTTAGCTCATACTCATTTGTCATAATTCTGATAATCTTATGGTGCAGACACCTCCTAGAAGTGCACCTTGCATGTGCTGAAGATTCTTGTTTAGGAGCTTCAGCTTAAATAGTGGGACTTGAGAGTGAGCAGCTTTCTCCATGATTAAGTAGGGGAGGGAGTGTGGATGGAAACAGACTATTGGTTGTCAACAGAAAGGGCTCTGTGGCAGTGCATGCTATTAAAACCCATATTATAGTAGTGCTTACTACATCCTTTCTATGTAGGTTAACTTTTGAAAGAAAGTTCATCCTTCTTTCTTTCTGCCAGTATAAAGATTTTAAAATCGAGTCTTCCCCCTGCCCCTTTTAAGAGAAGAGAATAGGGAAGAGTAGGTGAGGTATTTCTATGTATTTCTTTTGAAGTCAAGATCATGGAATAAGTACGTAAGGAAAATGTCTTGTACTTAAGTCCCAGAAATACAGCTATGGCTCTTAGCTTTTTTTTTTTTTTTTTTCCCTATTTCATTTCTCTGCAAGCTGGCGAAATGAGCAGAGAACAGAAGGTTCATTGATTTTAGCTGGAGAAGTGAGGCAGTTTTTCCTGGAAGGTGTAGCTTGGTCATATGCACATTATCATCTTAAGCCTGTAAATGCTCAAAACATTTAAACTTATGAGACCAAAATAAGCTGCCTTCAAACTGTATGTTGGCTCAGAAACTTAAATGTTCCTCTGTAAGTGTGAAAAGGAGACACAAGGCTAGGCCATTCTTGCAAGCCTCTAAGGTTTAAATTAAGATTTGTTTGTATATTTAATGGATAGAACAAAACCAGAATGGCTTGGTGCACCCAGGAAATCTCCTGGTTTTACTAGACAACACCAAAAATAAATAAAAATATATAAAAATCATATATATACACACACCCAACTTTCTATGGGCAACATAGTTCTACCAAGGTTTCTAATTGGGCAATTGAACTAGACAGCAAAGTTTCCATGGGAAGCTGGGGAGATGAAGGACTTCCTCCTGCGTGTTACTGTGATCTGCAGTGCTCATCAATTTGCACAGTGCAACAGAAGCCTTGCACAGGAGGACCTAATAGTTTCAGATGGAGAATTGCAACTTTGAAAGTGTGTGTGTGGGGGGGAACTATAGGCTTCTCTGCAGATGAACAGGCTGGATCAGATCAGTCTATTCACTTGGGTGATAGAAGTCGATGTCTGAGAAATCCTTAGCTTTTTCCATTTCTAAGTGATGGTGTTGCACATAAGTTAGCTCAGAAAAATGAGGCTTATCAGTCTCTTCCTTTATATGTCACAATTCATCTGACATCATCAGCTGAGGAGAAGTTACAGGAGCCCGAAAGTATCCTTTTAGCTTCAGGGAAAACATCTTATATGTGGCATATAAGAACACAGGACTGCCATTCAATTAATGCTGGAGGGTTCACCTTTGGTGTCCCATGTTTAGAGGTTAAATCAAGAATTTTCAGGGCATAGTTGGCATACTGAGGAAGATGCTATTTCTTTAAATCTACACAAATATTTCAGGACGATGGAGATTTTAATTTCCTGATACAGTAGGTATTTTGCTATATTTTTCAGTAACACAGATCTTACCATAATTTTTTTTTATTCTGCTGTAGTTAGATGCTTCCCTGGTTTTAAAATTTTGCTCTGAGATCAATGAACCTAGTCTATAGAGACAAGAGGGGACAGATTTGTGTGTTACCTGAAATTTTTTATCCACTGAGTAACAAATGGCTGTATTACTCAGGTTTGCAAAATCTTCAGCTTGTAGTTCAATAGAAAATGTGAAGACCAATTTAAGATCTGCAGTAGCTAATTGTAATATCTATTTGGAGTTAAATCCTGAAGTAAATTTAGTACTGGTCAATTGCCCAATTAGGCAATTACCTTTAGCTGTCTTGC